TAGGCCCGAAACGTCAGCCTCTCTGCTCCTATGATGCTGCTTGGCCTGCTGTGTTCATCCAGCCCTGCACCTTGTTGTCTCGGATTCTCCAGCATCTGCAGTTCCTACTATCTCTTAAGATGCATCATCCTGTTTTGTAGCTGCTTCATAGAAACATCTCAATCACTTAATGAATAGCATTTACAAGTTGTCACATGGAATAATCTTCATAAACTGAAATACCAATAAAGGAATATACTGAGAAAGCTGAAAATCTGAAATTAAAACAGAAACTGTTAGAAAAAACTGAGTAAATCAGGTAGCATTTTACACATATAGCGAATGTTTTTTCGCAATTGTTATTTTTAAACTAAATAGGTTTAACTACAGAACCGTCAGAAAAGCCATTCTGACATCTGCACCTGAATTTTTTTTTTAACATGGCCCCTTTTTGCAGATAATTCTTTCAGGTTAAGTTGGATATAGAGAGGGATGCAGAAGATTTGTGGCCTTTAGGGGAATAAAAATCAATTTCTTGTGCATTGCACATTTTGTTGCTGTGTACAAAGTTTCCATTTTCCAAAAACATATAGATCTTAGAATCCCTTCGGCCCAACGAGTCCACACCGACCCTCAGAGCATCCCACCCAGACCCACCACCCCATAACCCACCTAATCTACACATCGCTGAACACTATGGGCAATTTAGCATGGCCAATCCACCTAGCTTGCACACCTTTGGACTATGGGAGGAAATCAGAGCACCTGGAGGAAACCCACACAGACATGGCGAGAATGTGCAAACTCCACACAGACAGTTGCCTGAGGGTGGAATCGAACTCGGGCCCCTGTGAGGCAGCAGTGATAACCGCTGAGCCACCGTGCCACCCCTGAATGTGAGTTTGTTAAGACAGGTTTTCTGAGTGAAAAATCACCCTGTACGAAGTCATTTAAAACCTGCAAGTTGCAGAAATATAGCTGGCAGGATAACACAGAGATTCAGAGTCAATCACTGGATGCAATTATTTAAAGAAGTATATTTTATCGGGTTTCAAGGTGACCCTGTTATGTGGCACTTGATGCCATGGAACAACATTTGCAATTTTTTGCTTTAATGTCATACTCTTAAAGTGGATCTAAGGCCTCATTCAATCTTACAATATGTTCTTTCTTGGTCTTACCACTAAGTAAAATGTCATCCAAGAAGCAGCATTCTCCTTTCATCCAGCCTAATATATAACACTCTAGAATACTGTTGATTCAGTACTCACCCCAGATGGTAAGCTTTTAAACTGGTACCACTCATTGTATGTATGAATGGTTAATTCTAATTGCTAATATTCATTTTTTAAAATTGTTCATTTTAAATATGTGTGTTGCTAGGTCAAGACATCACCCATCTGTAATTGCCTCAAGAAAGTGGTAGTGAGCTGCCTTCTCGAACAGCTGCATTCCATGAGTGTAGACCCACAATGTTGTTAGGAACAGAGTTCCAGGATTTTGACAGATTTATCTTATTGAACAACTGCCCATTTGCAAACGATAAAACAAACCTTCATTGACTATTCATAAATCTCTACAATCCAACTCAGTGCATCTGCTACAGGGACTGTCAGAATGGGTAGCCTGTTCACTGATTTTCACATTCTTAATTGTTCCCATTCTTCCCAATCTCTTAGTACACATATGGCACTGACCTAACCTTACAATACATCAGCTGAATTGGCTGCACATTGACCTTTGACTTGACTTCAGCCTTGTGATGCCTGATTTTTATCATTTGGTCTTTCTTGTTAAAGACCACTTTGTGTACTCTTTGCTTTCCTCAATGTCAGGGATACCTTTACTGATTCCTGCTGTGAATTATTTAATTGGTTTAACCCTAAGGCCAATTCCAGCCCATAAGAAAAAAGTTTTTTGTTACCGCCTACTACCAGTGGCAAATAAAATGATGTATCATTATATTCCATTAGCATCACTGATACTGGAATGCTCTTATTGCAATAACTAGTCAATTCCACACCAAATTTGCCAAAGGAAATATGACTTAAAGACCTCCTGTACTTTCCTCCTGAGATAACACACTGTTGTGGTTGTTTTCAGTGGTAAATCTCTGACTTTCATTTCTATTGTGGGTGCTGGACTTTTATCTCTGGCACTTTAAAAGATGGTGGTAGAGTAGGACGCTCCAGTCGGAGTTCCTCTGCTCGCCAGGTCCTTTACCCCTTTCCCTGTTTCTTTTTCTCTCTCTTTTCCTCTTTCTACCCCCAGATCCTCCTCTCCCATTTTAATGGCTGTGGTATCAGTGCCGGTTTCCTTCCACATCAGTTTAATCTCTTTACTTATTAACTTGACCTGCAATTTATTATCCTGTCAGGCCTCCATCAAATGTGCTTCTAAGATTCATGTCTAAGCTTTTACTGTGCCCACAGTGATAAGAGTTTTTTTTAATTTGAGCATGTAATCTGCAATAGTCTCATATGGCAATTACTTCCTTTCATGGAATGCAACTCATTAGTACAATTTCATTCTTAATTGTGTCATAGTATGAGTACAGAATATCATCAATTTCAGATTAGTCCATACTGCAATCTCACTTAACAATGGCATGACAACCCCTAAAAAGTATTTGGGCATGGGATCAAAATAATCTTTTCCTTTCTAGGGCTCAAAATTTTCTCATGGGCTATTTTTTCATGTTTAGGGACTTTTTTTTCTAAGTTTTCAGGAGCTCTTTTTCAATTCTCAGTAACCTATTTATTAGGTGATGCAGTCACTTGGTAACAATACTTTCTGTAGTTTTGTTGATGTATGGGAAACTTGGATGCTCACAGAAACAGAACTAGAGTTCATCAATATTTTTAAATATCAACTTTCCATAAAAGTTAAAGTCACAACACAGAAGATTAATTTCCTAGAAACTATAGTACTCAAATTGGCAGAAGACCACAAGACGTAAAATCAGAAGTAGACCTTTCAGCCCATTAAGGCTGTTCTGCCATTCAATGAGATCATGGCTGACCTGATCATCAACTTCACTTTCCTGCCCTTCTCACATTATCCTCGATTTCTTTACTGACTAAAAATCTGTCTATCTTAGTCTTGCATATACTTAATAATCCAGTTTCTACAGTCCTCTGTGGTAAAGAATTCCACAGATTCACTGCCACCTGAGAGGAAATTCCTCATCTTTGTCTTAAATGGGCACCCCTTATTCTGATATTATGCACTCTGGTCCTAAACTGGTAACATTTGAACCACACAAATGGCAGGCAATGACCATTTCCAATAAGAGAATATCTAACAACCATTCCTTGACATTCAATGGCATTACCATCACTGAATTCTCCACTATCAATATCCGGGAGGGGGTAGAATTA